CTCTGTAAGCTCCCTCCTAGATAAGGAAATGAGGCACTATTTCAAAGCACTTGCCTTAGAAAAAGTATTTTAAGGACATACACAGTACAGATTTATTTACGCTGGAGAAGGCAGGGTCAGCCAAACGCACCTAATGCTTGCTTACACAGGCAGACAGAGGACCCCAGGACCAATGTACTCCACTCCACAGTGCTGGGAGCCCTGCAGAATGCACCTGTTCCTGCAAAGTCTGGCTTAGTTCTCTGGTGACACTGTGGCATCACCAAAATCCACTTCAAAATCTAACAACCTGTTTGAACCTTAAAACTTCTGACCTAAACAGGAAAGAAGCTTACCCTCTATCACATTTCAAGGGAAAAATATGTCTAATAACGATTAGTACAGGCACCTTCTCAGGCAGTATACCTTTGAAAAGTTAGAAATATGGAAAGAACAAAAATACTCTATTTTCTTGAGAAAATCGCTCATATTTGAAACTACTGGGGTATAAGAAAAATTGACACACTTTATTTTCTCTTACCAGTGGAACGTTAAACAAGCAGCCCTTCAGAATGCAAGTGAAATGTTCAGCCCCTTAAGTTACCCACTGACTATCTGAACTTGAGTTTTAGCACAGTACTGGCTTCTCATCAAACATGAACTACAGTATTATAAACACATTTAAACCAGTCTCTCAAATAAGGCAGGACAACCTGTCCTGTGAACCTGTGTCTTCCTCCCACTCACACCACATTTGTAAATTAGCTGTTGATAAAAGGTACAAAATATGAAAATGAACTCAGTCTCTGTCCTGCTTAATTCAAAACTGCATGGCTTTACACCAAGTATGTTTGTCAGTTATTTCTTCCCTTTGAATGCTTGGTGGCTAAATAATGAAGAAATACTTCTGGTTGGTAAATAACAATTCCAGTGCCAAATGTTAGTACAAGGTATTGGAGCAGCTGTGACTGTGGTAAAGAGTCTACAGGGATCAGAACAAATATCCTTTATTACTACAGAGCAAATAACCTATACTATGTATTACTGCAGAAATACATGCTGCCACATAAAAAACCCCCCAACAAAATTAATTATCACTAAACTCTCATACTAATTCATGCCAACCATAGTCATAAGTACTGCAGAATAGCTGGTGCTGTGTTACTGCAGAACAGTTAACGTTTCACACAGAATAAGAATGCCTTCTAGAAAGACATTAACAGTTATTGGTATCTTGCAACATAGCAAGATAAACCCTCTCACCTCTGCATCCACATGGAATGAAATGGGTATATGGGTGTAGAATAATTTGCCCCAAGTGGTGACCCAGTCAGTAGTAAGGATCTTGTCACCTTTTAGAGAGAAGTTACAGAAATGACTAGTTCAATGATGGTTTGGCTGTGTTTCAACTTCATAGACAACTTAGTCTGCCAAGGTCCGATTTATAACCAGGTTCTGCCATGACAAAATTAATAAGGTATTTGACCACACACCAACAGGGTCTAAATATGTTTAGCTCTGAGGAATATTTATTACTTTATGATTAAAAACTTTATGATAAAAATCAGTACCAGGATTTGTCCTATTGACCATCAAATATTTCTAACAGTTTTTCCCTCTGTGAAAACATGTAGACAAATTTGAATCATGTCTTGTTTAAATGCTGCAATTACAGACAAGTCATAGTTATAAATACCAGAACTTCCAAGGAAAACTCCAGTCAGGAAGTATTTTCTAGTGGGATTTTCATGAGGCTCTTCTTGTCAAGAAACAGAGTTTACTCCTGTTATTTTAATAAAACAAGAACTTAAAAAAAAAAAAAAATCACACATTCTTAAGGTTAATATTCCTAAAGAATATACGCACTTTTTTAGGGTTTTGAGTTTGTTTTTTTTTTAGTTAGGCAATGTGCAGAGACATGAAAAATAATCCAAAAGGGACAGAGCCTGAGAACAAAAGAGGTAAAAAAATTATTCTGGATTTGAAAAAAAACCAATCCTGTTGATAGAACTGTTGGATTCTGGTTTCCTACCCCTGGACTTTCTATACATTCAAGTCAGTGACTTGGAAGAGTTCAGACTTTCCACTTTGGGCTGGCATCGCATCCACTTCTACATGAGGATGTTGGTCAATCACAAAAAAATCGTAGACTGTTAAGGGACACAAGGGCTCTTCAGATGAACTACCTTTCAGGACTACATATTCCTGAAGTAATTAAAATTAAATGATCATACCTTTAAAGTGCTGGTTCTACAAACAATCTGTAAGACTGAGGTGTTACATTTTCTTACTATCAAGTTAAGCAAACATTAGTTCAACTTATATTTATGCCCCATGCAAAGAAGGGAAGGTTTCGGGCATTTAATTGAAAGACAAAATTTCAAAAATAAATTAAAATAATTATGTGTTCAGATGTATTAAAAATACATAACACCATCATATATGTATCTATTGCCCTTATGCTTTATAAGGTTTTCCAAAATCCAATTCAATTAACATCAGCACTGGCAATTAGCATGCTGCCAGGAATGTCAGGACTTGTATCTAAATATCTCTGCATGCCATCATCACAGCTGTTCATGTACTTCAAAAAGAAGATTAAAAGCATGATTGTAAAAGGTTGTTAATGTTTAACATGAAGGTTCTTTTCTTTTAGTTCATCTGGCTGAACAAAAGCTCATTTTATTGATCCATCACTTTTCTGACTAGTCTGATGAATGAGGCATTGACTTACGTCTGCACACTTCTGTATGCTATAACACAACTGCATTCATTTAACAACTAATCAAAGACAGTGACATACTTAGGAAGATATCATTTAGTTTTGCTTATCAGTTTGCTTAGCAAGAGCAAATCTCAAGCTCCTGAAAATAAAATATTGCAACACAAAATGATAAAAATGTCTTGTTTTGATTTAGTATCACTTGACTGCCTAAACACACTTCAATTAATTTATTTCCAGATGGCACTAAAAGCTATAAATGATTTCTTCTTTTCCCTTGCAGCATGAACAAACGGAAGGTCAAAACCAGTTTTAACTTCATTTATTCTTGAATTAGTTAGGTAGGTTTTTTCCAAAGCTTATAACAAAACCATTTTTTTTACCCAAGATACTATGTTGTATTGGTATATATCATATAGTTGGTTTTGCCTTTTAATTAATTTTAATATTAAAAACTATCACCCCTATAAAATAAAAGACACATTATGAACCCCTATAAAATAAAAGACACATTATGAAAGTAATCTTATAACCTTGCCTAAGGTTTAATAAGTTTACCATATTTTAATACTTTCACTATTTAGATGAAACAAAAATATGTACAGAGCCCTTTTAAGTATGCAAGAAAGACTACGAGAGAAATAATTACATGGTATGAAATTACATTAATCCATTACTATTAAGCACCTGCCCGTAACTATGTAATTGTTTTAGAATTTGTTCCCATTGACTTGAACACCGAAAGGTTAAGATCTAGAAATAAACATTGCATGACTATTTTGTTACTATAACATATTCAGATTTAAATGAGAGTTTTTCTCAGCTATATAGTTTTGAAACAATAATCTTCATATTGTATACAAGCTTAACGAATATCCAAAAGCAGAAACAGCATTTGCCCTCTTGCAATTGAGAAACACTTCTGCTGCAGACATTCAGTTGGAAATGTAAAATAAAGACTAATCCAACCCTCTCAAATTAAAAAAAAAGACATTTTAATACAAAACCCCAGTACAGTTTTACAACTGTTTTATCTGCCTTTAGAATATTTCCTATTAGATAAAAGCAAAAGTTGCATAAATCTCAGCCAACTTCTCACAGGGTTTTGTGGCCATTTTGTTCAAAATGCGTGAGGTCTAGGTATCACATACTTAAGCCTGCACAGATCCACAAGAAAAATTCAACTGTATGCACTTTGCTAGAACCCAACACAGACTGTAGAAGCCCAACTCTACTCGTATAAGACCCCGGATATTTTCAAGAGCTGAAGGATTTTACCTGTCCACTTTCTTCTACTGCAACTATGGTAGTTAAGTCTGATACACTGCTTTCACATCCACTGCTCCCACTCTCTTGGGCTTACAGACTGCTTCAAATTCTGCTTACCTTCATGTTAAAAGACAAAGCCCAATTCTGCAAAGAGCTACCAGCTACATTTCTAAGAAGCATAAAGTTACATGGCCCTCCTTAATCTCAGTATTGCCAACAGTCTAAAAATTTTAACTCTAAGCCTGTAAAATTTGTGCACACTTGATGGGCTTTTGGTTGGGTGTGAGTTTTTTTGGTTTGGTTTTTTGTTGACTGGTTCTTTTATTGTCCTCAAATTCATTGACTTCCAGATGGAGAAAATGGTGTTTGGCTCCCTTGACAGTCAAAGTTTCATCACAGTTAAATTGAACATAGAGCCTTGTGCGGGAGAGACTTGCTTTTCAGCTGCTGTCAGCTGTTATGTAGCCTCCAACTGAAGGAAAAAGTTGGGTACCTGGAATTTATTTTTAAACTTGCTCACAACCAAATGCAAGTGCAAAATTCCACATCCACGTAAGAGAAGGTAAAGCTTCTGAACACAGTCAGAATTAACTTTTATCAGCTACAAATGCTGTTACTTTACACACATAATCAACTGTGGTAATAAAGCAAAGTTTAAGTTAGATAGCTATTGCACAGCTATGAGTTAAAACAGTAGCATAAGGGTTTATTTCAGAGTTCTCTGACTCAAGTTCCTATAATTACCAGTATTTAAGAGTTTGAGTTATTTTTCCCTTCAGCAACTTCTCTACTAAATGAAGTGAATTTTTGCAACTGAGACACTGCTTGTCTTTCAGTCATAGCATAATGCAGCCCAGGCAATAAATTCTTTCCTACTGTGTGCTTTGCAATTACAATTCCTCACCGATACCATAACTCAATATGGTAATAAAAAATAATCACTATTTATCTAATGCCTGTGGATTAAAACCTTTCTTACGCGCTTGAAATGAAGTAGAAGTTAGCTGGTTTTAGAAGTTACGAAACATACCCAGACAAGGAGCAACAGATTTCTTTTCACTGTTCCACAGTACCCCAGCATTCCAACTATGATGAGGAAACAGCAGACTGCAATCATAACCGGGTGGACCACAGGAAAGTAAGTCAAAATGACAGCTTCCTCCACCCTAAAACCAATCAGAACCATAATCAAAAAAAAAGCACAATCACACAAAAATGATACAGAAGAAAAACATAGTATAGCCATTAAAAAGTAGCAGATGTGTTCTTTCCAGCACCTTACACATTTCACCGCAATCTCTTCTACATGGTTTTAAAGTCAAATGCTGCATTCAGGTACCAGAAAGTAATGCATTGTCCAAAATCTCTCTAGAGCAAAGGCAGTCTTCCTGCCCTGCACTTGCACAGTAAGCAGCACAATGAGGCCCTGTTTCATCACTAGGGCTCATAAGCACTGCTGTAATAAAGCTAACAGAATTCCTAAATCTCTGGACTGAATAAAGTATTCAAAACTAAACGGTAATATGATATGGTTACATGCTGTCAAAGGGTCAAAAATTGATCCCTGTCAGAAGAGAAAGGCAAAGGACTGAATTCCTACCTTTCTCCCTTTTCTAATTTCAACTGATGCCAGAAATGGTGGCAAAAATACACTTTTCAACAAAACAATAGCTTAACTGAAGGCTTCTTAACTCTACAAATCCTAATTAGGAAACTTGCCATACTGAATAACAACATATACCCCCAATCAGTCACCCTCGCAGATTAAGAGATTTAACTAAAGCTTTACCTTGTTTCTGCAGTTAAAGTGAGAACATTATTCAGGTAGTCTCTCATCCAAGCAGAAACACCTAATACGCTGATGGACATCAACTAAAAAGAAAAGATTGAGTTATTTGTCATGCATTTAAAACAAACTGCAAGCTCATTCATAATTTAAGTAGAGATCAGTCATCACTAACAGCTTTCATGCATCGATTTATCTGAACAGCATCTTGCCCCCAAAACTGTACTGCTACATGCTCAGACCTGGTTTATTACTTAAGTATTAGGGAGCCAGTGACAATAATATTCTCTTCAGTATGCAAAATTAATGTCTGGAATACCTTCTCTTTCACCCAGTGATGTCCTCCTGGCTCCTGTCCCACCACTGCACTACCTACCACAGAAACAACAGGGATGGTTTATGCTGCTAAAATCTGTGACTCTTTCAGGGCTCACAAGTGATACCCATCTGCATGAAACCATGAAGCCATGCTCAGGTACATAGCTAGCGAAGAAAAATCGAAGCCCTATACAGGATACAACAGTACTGACAAATCTCTCCTGTGTGTCAATGTATCTTGGGGATAAATGTAGAAGAATCTGATTCTCTCACTCATTCAGACTTAGTCACTCCATGAATGCTCTGTCTCAGTTTCCTGAACCATAAAATAACAATAAAACTCATTATGCTTCAATTATAAACACCACACCATCAAAGCATTTGGGGGGTACCTGACCTGTCAGGCACTTCAAAGGCATAAAGCCACTACACTCTTTCCAAGACTGCTCCCACAGCATGTAAATCCCCGAGACTCAACCCACCTAGAATTGCCACCACCTCAGCAGACACAGATTTCTGTCATGTGATAACACTGTACAATTCAGCACACCTGGGGCTCTGGTCACGGATTTTCCTGAGAAGTCAAACCTGAACATGTTCAGAACCTGCTGTGCTGTGACAGCACCAGCTCTGATGATGCTGTAGCAGAGGTACTGCTAGAGGACAAGGCACTCTTCACTCAATCTCACATGGGCACCTAAACCTGAACCACAGCTCAGGGCCTGAACCTAAAAGACATAAGACCTGAGAAGCATAGTCTAGTTGACAGAGGGAGACCTAAGCATGCTGATTCTTCTGAATACTACTGTGTTTGTGCATTGTATAGGGGTATGACAGGACACCTCAGCATTATACTTAGAGTTTCTTAAATCAGTTAGAAGTGCTAATCTCGTCTGTTGCCTTCAACATCTACCTTCCCACATGCCCTCATATTTCCCTGAAGTTGTTATGAAGAATAAGTTAACTGGCTCAAACCTAACACAGGAAAAGTCACTCTGTGTCCTTAGCAGCTCCTGTGCTCGCAGCATGCCCACAGCAGGCTATTTCTGCCTTCAAAATTTCACAAGAAGACCCAGTAGCTAGCCCATAGCTTCTTCCTGCTTCTCAGATCTGGTGCACAAAGTACAGGCACTGTCTTGGTTCCGGGCACTGCCAGCAAGAGCCCTGAGTGCTTGGCATGCTGCAAGCATAGTCTGGAAAGCTAATGTGAGAAACAAGTCTACTGCGTTCACCCATCTTCTTTATGCTCTGTGGGGTCTGTTTGGGCTGGTGGAACAGTAAAGAACATTTTCTGTTGTGTTATTTGCAGGAAGCTGCAGGAAGAAGGAAAAGATTATGACTGCAATCTTGTCCTAGACAAATTCCTTAACAACTAGCTATCTCCTTGGAAGAAACCATTAGGCAAACACAGGACACAAGCAGTTAAAAACATGAGAGATGAAGACTACACGCAGACAGTCAACCTTCTTATGGTCAAAAAGCAACACAAAACATTTTTAACCCTCCACATCTCACTGCAAGGCCTGTTGATACACACAGAAAAGCATTAGCCCACACTTCCACTCTATGATAAAATACTTAGGATAAATTTAGTTACTTCACTTTATAACTACCTTCAGCATACAGCACAGGAACTACACTAACACCAGCAGCACAACTCAGCCCAGGCACTCAGTAGGCAGGAAAACTAACAATCTCCCAAAAACTTTGGTGTGCATCCAACCTACCAGCAAAGAACAGCAGGCACATCACTGCAATTCACTGCCATGTGATTTTCAAAGAGTCCTGGGCAGGGGGGCAAGATCCTGATTACAGTTCTTTTTGGTTCATTTGAAGGATGGCAAAAAGGTGGTCCCAAAAATCTGGCAGCCCTTACTTCAGCCATTGTTTGGTAACTAACTCATAGGTAAAATACAGTTAGAAATCTGTATCAAGCAATCATATGAAAGAACACAAGTTTATGACAAATAGACTACTAAGATAATTCTCACATTAGCAGTTACATCATTTCACCAAAAAGTTTTCATTCAAGCTCCTCTGATGACAGTCAGCCTGCTGTGCTGTAAGCATAATGTGATAGTATGCAGTAAAACATGTTTTATTTGTTGCAGCTGGCTGCACAAGTCACTGTGGGTTTAATTCTGAACTGTCACAGTATGTTATATAGCCGTCAACATGACACTGAAGAGTTTACAAAACTGCCTGCTGTCACACTATTTTAAACATATTTTCACACTGATTAAACAAAGGTAATAAATTATATTTTTATATATGAGCAGTATGCACACAATAATATATTAAATTTTAAAATTTATTGCTAACGTGAAGTTTTTAAAGCTACTAAGGCTTTCTCACACAATTTAATTACAATATCCAACACTAGACTCAAAAACTATTAGGAGCAATTGTTTCCAAGCACAGTTTGATTGTCCTTGGAACTCTCTTCCATAATTTATGCATCAAAATGAAAACATAAAATCATCTGTTATTCATTAAGTATATATTTTAAGCCATTATTGTGAAAGTCCTACTTACAGTGTCTTTCAGGCCATACCTAAACTGGAAAATAAATCTCCATTTTCAATTAATACATGAACATGGATTTCTGTCTTTAAGGGAGCAAGACCAATGGTTGTTGCTGTTTGCACACCTGCGTTCATCCTTTCATCATTTTTTTCATTCAAATATTCTAACACCCTCCTTTTTGACAATGCAGGTTGTTGGGCTCAGACTTTAGGAGGTTTTTTTTTTCAAATTATTAAATTGGAGAAAAGATTAAAAGTAATTCCCATACTAAAAATCACACACCATTCTTTTTATTCTAACAGATGGGATATACAACTTCAGGCCATGCTCTGGTACCCATAACAAAATGCTGACTAGCAGCACTACAGAGCAACTTGCTTTGCATGAAAAGGTTTCCAGCTTCAAGGAAATTACTTCCAAGATATGACAACATTAATCAGAATATATCCTTTTATTTCAGTTTTAAAAAAAAAACCCTGAGAAAATTTTCCAGTTAAAATTGATTTGGGTAACCTGAGCTGTGACTTACCAAAGGGGAGGGGGGGATAAATCACTACAAGGTCATGAACAGACCATGTTGCAATGCTTTCACAGGATTTTCACAATTAGGTTCAATATTCAGATCACTGAACAAACACAGATAACTCAGATCCCTGGATAAACAGAGAACTACATTTTTTTGGGACAGAGGATAAGGGCAGAGGAGGGTGGGACAAGAGGTCTTGGTTTTCTGTATTATCTGGCAAAACCATTTAAATGTTTAGAGAATAAATAGCATACAAAAAAGGAAAATCCCCGACTCCCTATTAATGCACTATTTATTCTACAGACATGCCAACATTTAGTTTTACCTAAGCTTCCTACAAGGTTATGCCTTGGTCCCCTCCCACTTGCAAACAGCTGAAGCACATTCGTATTTGCACTTTGAATCCAGTTTGCTTGCACAGCTGCAACAGTAAGTTAACAACCAGCTCCACGTTTGGCAAGGCCTGGAACTTGCACACTTTGCAGTAAGGCAACTGCTGGAGCACCGACAGGCTGGTGATGGGTCACACTCCTGGGGCACAAGAGCAAGATTTCCAGCAGCTAGCTGTTCAAGGCTCCTAGAGCAAGCACAGCAGAAAGAAAGTAAGAGCCCAAACATGCAAACAGGTTGAGGTACAGTTCTATTGTGTGTTAGACCCACAACAACTTCTGAGCTGTGTACTATAAGGGTACATTAAAAGCAAAGCGGGGAAAAGAAGTGCATGCATGTTTTCATCCATCCTCTCTGTGACTACCCAAGCACTGCACTTCTTGTTAGGATGTAACTTGTGCCACTCTTCCCTCTAAAGTAAGCATCTCACTGTCAAGAGATCTCTTGCCTTTGGGGAGGCAGAGGCATGTGCTGCTCATCAAGGGTAATTCACAGCAACGCTCAGAGGTCAAGTGTCCCAATCATATCACAAGCCACACATCACCATCAAGCTGATATGCCTTCCCATATACACAATATACTCTTAATTTTGTTTCTGTAAGAGCTTGCTTTTATTCATGGACAGTAGTTAATCTCCCAGATGCAGGCAAATTACTTTAAAACCCAGCATACATATATATATATGTATAACTGGAAAAGGGAAAAAATTGTGTATTTCCTATGATCCACATGACTACACATCACAGTGTCGTGGGTTTATCAATTAAGTTTTCTGTTTTACACGTCAATACACACGAGCACACAAAGACGACTAAAATGAACCTGTATTTTTAAATAAATCACACATTCCCTGTCCCCTATGGGACAGTTTAATTTTGTGCATTTTTATAGGAATGCGGGAAATAGCTACATGATATTTAAAACCCTATTCCTATGAGCCTTGTCTAGTGTCTACCATAGACTCTTGAGATGACAGAGAATCTTCATGGTACAGATGCAGTGCCCAGGGATTCATGAATAATTCAGTAGCTACCTTCTACAGAAAGCCATGTGAATTTAAAGGAAAAAAATACACAAGTATCTACAGTCCAAATGGACCTTCCTAATTTGCTGAAGATCATGGCTTACCAGTATAAGCATACAGTTGGAAGTTTTTTCTTCCCCTTGAGCTATGGGCTCCAATTTTGTCAGCACAGCTTTGTGCATAATTCTCAAGGTGGAGGCAACTCTGTGGACACAGTTAGTTGTGATGATTACCTAAAAAATGTCTGAGGTTCTCAGATTTCTGAATGCCAATTAAAAGCATATTCATGTAATTTCTAACATTGGGATGGGGTGTGGGTTTATTTTTTCCTTTCCATTAGCATATCAAGCCACTCTTTTTCAGGACAGATTTACAGTGCTACAGGTACCCATCCAGGCAGTGTTTGTTTCAATGGATATTATTTATCATTTAAACTTAAACATTGTCCTGAACTCTATTCATTCCAAGTATCTACAAACCCCACCAATGAGAGTGGAAGTTGAAAAGCAACAGAAACAACCTCTACGCAGAATCTGGTTCCATACAAGGGAGGAAAGACTCATTTCTTTCTCATGTTACAGCAGATTTGAAAAATTAGGCAAAAAAATTACAAAAATTACATTTGAAGTTGGAAAAACCAGAAAATACAATATCACTGCTTCCAACCATCCTTACTACTTCCTTGCACAACTCATCTTCCCTTGTTCTGAATTCTCAAGTGGTGCACATAGGCAAAACTAGAAGATTTAAGTGTGCAAAGCACTCAGAACAAATGCAAAACTAACTGGAAGCTTGCTCCTCTTACATTTTATGTGATTTTTTCCCCCTTTGTTCACAAACAGAAATTCAAGATAAATGCAAATCGATTTCCACCACCTGCCAGAAGTGTTTATTGGCTGCAACCACAAGATTGAAATTAGATGGTACTGCTCGTGTGAAGGAAAGCTTAAACACTGCTCAACTGAAACAGCATATCCCTAGGCAGTGGCAACATCACTGGCTCGGCTCAAACATCCACTGACACTACTAATCATCGGTTAAGAGATCCTTACCACCCATGACACAGTCATCTGCAACTTACAACCTTGATTTGTCCAAGGCACTACAGTACAGTCATCCTCAATTACAAGCAACACAACAGCAGCTGCTCCTGCCTCACGTGCTTACCAGAAAAAAAAAAAAAAAAAGTTGGCAGTTTTCTCAAGAGAAAGTCTATACAGACTTTTTCCTGCACTTTTCCTACTAAGTCACTTGGCTGTTTTTTACAAAATGAGAAAACTGACAAAAAAATTGCACTGCTTTTACTTGCTTCCACTATCACTATCTGGGTCACCTATTTTAACTATTTCTAACTTTTTTTAAAGAACACATTTGGCTGAGCTGCAATTAAAAGTCAAACAGATCCGTACCTCTCAAAGCTATTGCTTTGCTTAATCCCCTACTTTAAGCAGCCAGGAGACTGAATTTTCCCTGTATTCAGCACCATTTGCTAGTTCCTGTTCTACCATAATCCCCAGGGGCTACTTGTACTCAGCATCCATTATTACAGGCTGACCACGTTCTGCCACTGAAGGTCTGTCCAAGCACAAATGCTTGCCAAGGTGGTTTAGCTGGGAAAGAGACCACAGTGAAGTGCAGAAGAACAATGGCAGCATTGCAAAGTACGGCAAAGAGGGCTTCTGTGAGGACAAGTTATACAGTGCTCAAAATTAATGAAAATGCCTATGTTACATCCATGACTGCTACTGAGCAGGAACAGTGTCAGGAGCTTGCCCATACAGTTAAGCCCCACCAGAAGGAAAGATCCTGTAGTCTCAAACTGCGTAACATATATTTGTAGAGCTATGGAAACTAAATTTCTCCAAGTCATGACACACACTATCTAGATATAATAAAGACCACTATTACCACTAAGAACAGAAAAATAGGAAGCAGTAGGAACAGGTCTTCTCTCAAGCATCACTAAGATAATCTGCTTAGCAAAGTCTTGACCATGAAACACCAAATCATGCATTTTTGGAGTTCTCCTCTTTTTATTAGGCTGTCCAAAACGTAATATATTGCAAATACCAGTGTTACAGAGTGTAAGATGAAACAGAATAAAGTTGGATCTCTCAGTCTCGTAAATTCCACTAACAAGTGATGCCCATCTATACGTGAGGATTGCAGAAGAACAAAACCAATGTTAACTGTAGGATTTAATCTGAAGGATATTCCTTCACTGTCAAAAAAACCCTTATGAAATTAGAAAACCAAAGAAGTCCTGAAACTGGAACTTCCCCTGCTCTAAAAGAGACATCTTGCAGTTAGATACATGATTCAACTGACCTTGAAAACAGCTTCCAGAAGGGTATCATCATCAGGTCTATTATCAGGGTCAGTCACTTAACAACAATTAGAGCACTGACAACAGATTTATTTCCACCTCAGGAGAAAAAAAACTTTCAAGATCTGCTGCAAGTTGCACCTCCCAAAGTACCAATCTACTCGCATCCACAAAACCAGAGCTCTTCTGGAGCAGTAAGGGCAGTACATCCATTGGTCCATTATAAAACAGGATGAACCACTACAACAGAGCCTTGGGCTTTCAGTTGATTGCTTATGAATTATTTACAGCTAAGCAGACTTTAGGTCAAAAATGACAGAAAGCATTATAAACAACACTTCCTGCCTGCCTCCCTCTCACGCACACACAGGTACATCACAGCTCATCAGCTGAGCAGAGTAAAAGAAGTTTCTTTCCAAACAGCACACAGCTGAACTTTCAAGCAATGCTCTGGATAAGCTACAAGGATGGTAGCAGACTGACTGATAAAGTTCTGTCATACCTCTTCTTCGGTAGGCTCCAAAAGCAACCAAATTATGAAGACAACAGCGTGTTGCAGCAACCATTTGCATCTTCAGTTTTTCAGCAGTATTCATGATCAGATTAGCCAGTTCTGTTACGTTATCTTAAGGAGCTTCACATGTACTAATCTGTCCTCACCAGGCTGGCAATGACAAATGTTGCAGTCCCATCATACACACACTGGGACAGCTGCACACAGGACACGCTTTGAAGCTTACTTCAGATGTTCTCTTTTAAGAGCCTGACAGTTAGACCTTACTAGACAGTGACTACTCGCTCCTGCACAGTTTTATTCAGGACTTCAAAAGCTTCAAGCCCAGCTTGGAGAAGAAAGCAGTCCTTTTCTCAAAACGTGTGGTTACACATACTGCTAAACACCATCACAGCGAAAAAAGGAGAGAATGTCACCTTATTCCAGTCAGGATCCACAAACCATGATTTTAAAAAGTCAAAGAATGTGGTTTGCACATCTTCACTGTTTTCAGACGAACACTGAACTGACACAGCCACTGGGCATGTTATCAACAGGCTTGAAGTCATTTCATAGAATTATAGAATCAAGCAGGTTGAAAAAGACCTCTGAGATCATCAAGTCCAACCCTTGATCCAACACTGTCGTGGTTACTAGATCATGGCACTAAGAGCCACATCCAGTCTCTTCTTAAATACCTCCAGGGACAGTGAATCCACCACCTCCCCGGACAGCCCATTCCAATTTCTGATTACTCTCTCTGTCAAAAATTTGTTCCTAATGTCCAACCTAAGCCTCCCCTGGCAGAGCTTAAGACCATGCCCTCTTGTCTTACTGCTGGTTGCCTGGGAGAAGAGACCAACATCCACCTGGCTACAATCTCCTTTCAGGTAGTTGTAGAGAGTGATGAGGTCTTCCCTGAGCCTTCTCTTCTCCAGGCTAAACAACCCCAGCTCCCTCAGCCTCTCCTCATAGGACTTGTGCTCCAGTGCCTTCACCAGCCTTGTTGCTCTTCTCTCGGCCTGCTCCAGCACCTCAATATCCTTCCTGAACTGAGGGGCCCTGAACTGAACACAACACTCAAGGTGTGGTCTCACCAGCGCTGAGTACAGGGGAAGAATCACTTCCATGGACCTGTTGGCCACACTGTTCCTGATACAGGCCAGGATGCCCTTGGCCTTCCTGGCCATCTGGGCACACTGCTGACTCATGTTCAGCTTCCTGTCAATCCAAACCCCCAGGTCCCTTTCTGCCTGGCTGCTCTCCAGCCACTCTGTCCCCAGCCTGTAGCGCTGCATGGGGTTGTTGTGGCCAAAGTGCAGGACCTGGTACTTTGTTGAACCTCATCCCGTTGGAATCAGACCATCTCTCCAGCATGTCCAGATCCCTCTGAAGAGCCCTCCTGCCTTCCAGTTGATCGACACTCCCCCCCAACTTGGTGTCATCTGCAAATTTGCTAATGGTACACTCAATCCCCTCATGCAGATCATCAGCAAAGATATTAAACAGGATATTGGAGGCAATGGCCTTTGGGAAGGAAGGAAGAAGCAAGAGAAACCATAAAACCTCCAAGATCACGCTTGAAGAGAATTACACGTATATGTCTCAAAACAGGAGGTCTGTAAAAATCTTGAAATCACAGCATCACTCTTGTCTTGACCCACTGGGACAGAACCCACCATGCTCAGGAGAAACATGGCTGCACATTTTCAAGGGGCTGATCTAATCTGAACTTCCTGACATCCAGCCCATAACCTAAGCCAGAATTTATCCAAGTAAGCACTAACATAAGCAACCAGTAAAACTTTCCAAATGGAAGGAAGAGCAGTGGCCAGGGGAGATCACTGCCCCCATGCCCACACCAGTGGATAAACACCTACTGCCAGAGAAACTTTTCACAAGAAAACTCTGCCCCGTGGGTCATGCTATGACACTCAGAAAAGGCAGCAGTAAAACTTCCACTAAACTGAATAGAAGAAGGTTCAAACTCTGACAGAGGAAAATATATGGGAGCTTTCACTACAACAAGCAGCTGATAGCAGATTTATATTCAGGCGTTAAATACACATCCAAACAGAACCAGGTAGGGAGCAGAAAGAGGTAATATATGCTCATTCCTCCAAAGAAATCTGATGTAACTGCAATACATTTAACTACCCAACCACCACACATCCTATTTCTTAACACACAGTTCTGGCAGACTCAGGGTTTTTTTGCTCACTTGTTTATTTGATTTTAAACAAACCAGTGCATTCATCTGCTTTGCAAAATGCAGAGGACTCCAAATGAACTGGTCAATTTTTCATTTGAGTTCCAACACCTTTAATTTTACATACATTATGGAAAATGGATTTAATTCTTTGCAACATCTGTGGTGCAAGTCACCTGCTATATAGGCATGTACTATTTAATTACATAATCACACACTTCGCCACTATACAGATTTCACTTAACTGCCTGGGTACACTTTCCAGTGTCCAGGCCTCAGCTAGAAAGACTAATTACAGACATTTTTTGTATTTCAGAGAAAAGATCAAGAAGTTGCCATTTTCCTACCTGTGACTTGTCATACCACAACAGACTCCTTTATCCTTTATCCTATACAACTAGGGTAAAAAGAAAAAAAAAGACAAAAATATCACATTTTCTAGGTGAGGGTGATCTGAGACATCATTATTAAAAGGGCAACAAAATCTAAAGAATAGGAAATCATTTCTAGCAATGAATGCTTTAAACCAAATTTAGATATGACTTCAGATGGAACAAAGTTAACAGCAGCACCACATTGCAGAAGTAAGTAGTGCTGTTCCTCTGACAAGTTCAAAGGTGATGTGTACTTCCATGCCTGAGGTCCACAACAAAAACACACGGAAAAAAACCAATGAAAAGTAGAAAAGAGCAATCTGACATGGAAAGGAACTTAAAATTCAAGTAAAGTGGGCAGACACATTTAAATCTTCCAGGTGAGACCTTGATCTTCCTAGAGAGGAACTGCTACCCAACACACTAGCCCCCTCCAAAGATAAGGGCAGGAGGACTGAAAAATGAAGCACTCAGCTCCAGCAACAAGCCTCCCATCAACACACGCCAGATAACTGACACAGCATGAAGGTATAACCTCATGTGTAATTTAGGTACCACCTAAATGTCTATTTCAGCTATAAGCAGCTGTTCCTGAATAATACATCTGATTGAGACACAGCAGGCAACAAGCACAGAGACCAAGGGAAAAGAGCAGAGGAAGCTTAAGGAGACAAAGACAGCAGTGAGTTAAAGTGCAAATGGGAACTGTTGAGGAAAGCTCAAATTAGGCATCACGGAAACCAGAGGAAAGAAACAGACAAACAGCGGGACGTGATGTTTTCAATCATGTAAATGTCCATTCACTCAAGTCTCCCAGAATACGTGTAAAAATCCAAAGCTGTACTCAGGTCAGCTGAGCCCAGGCAACCTTCATCTTAAAAGAAAATATAGGGTTGTAGATTTTGTACAGAATCCACTGAAAACTATGATGATGCTAGAAATAATTACACATCCTTTTCTTCTAATAAAAAAGCTTTCCTCATCTCCTACTAAAGGGGTTTTATTCCTACACACAGTAAGGAAATAGTTTATTTTTCATCTCTATTAAACACAATATACAAAGCTACATACTTTCAACAGATTTTCAGATCCCTTGCATTATATAAAAGGTACCATTCTGTTCAAAATACTGTTTGACAGTTTTTTCTCTCATTCATGTTCTGATCCCCACTTAATTTTCAGTAGTCATGGGACTTCATCTCAGTTCCAACCCCCTTGCCATAGGCAGGGACACCTTTCACTAAAACAGGTTGCTCAAAGCCCCATCCAGCCTGGCCTTCACTTACAAAGATGGAGAGTTCACATCTTTTCTGGGCAACCTGTTCCCATGCCTCACTACCATCAAAGTAAAGAATTTCTTCCTAATATCTAATATAAACCTCCTCTTTCAGTTTGAAGCCATTCCCCCTTGTGCTGCCACTACATGCTCTTACAAATAATTTCTCTCCATCTTCCTTGTAGGCTCCTTTCAGGTACTGTAAGGCTGCAATTAGGTCACTCCAAAGCCTTCTCCTTCTAGGCTGAAAAATCCTGATTATCTCACCGTTTTCTCATAGGAGAGGTGCTCCATCTCTTTGATCAAATTGTTGGCCCTCTTTGGGACTCACTCCAACAGGTCAATCTCCTGTTGAGGACCCCAGAGCTCAGTGCAGGTGGAAAAAAAACTCTTAATATAAACTAGGCTTGGTCCCAGCCCATGTATTATCTCTGCATCATTCAAATTTACAGCACTTCAGGAGTAAGACATTGTGAACAGGTGTAGGATGTTACGCCTTTTGCCCTCTTACCCTTATCCTGCACAAATCTCAACTATTCAGGTGAAAGAGATTGCATTTGGTGCAAGTGAGTGAGGACTCTCAGCAATATCCAACTTGCTGTTTCTTCAGAGCTCTGAAAGTTTAAGGAACAAGTGTTGATCACATCCACCTGTGCTGCAGAGCAAGAAACCCTGCTGCTATAAATACAGCTTTGACTGAAATCCTCAAAACAAAAGAAATGGGCCTTGCCTACCAGTTAGGATCTGGCCACTGAATGCAGAAAAAAGACTCCGGGCAAGGCCTGGGCAGAGTAGACTGCTTTTGGAGTTCATCTCGGGTCACAGGATTCCTCTGAAACTCACCTAGTCAGGAAGCCACAGCACCCATGAATATTCCCCTCTTTACATATTACAGGTGCACAAATTCACGCATGTAACGAACACTAATCCAATTTTACTTCCGGTTGGTTTCCAAAGGCATTTTGTTGCCTCCCCAGTGATCAGTACTCCCTTACGGGAGCTGCCTGGCACGGGGCCAAAAGGGCACGAAGGCGGCATCTCCTGCCCCGGCCCAGCGCGGGGAGCCCGCGGACAGGGCCGGCCGTGCCCGCCCTGCGGCCCCGGGACGGCACCTGCCCGGCCCGGCCCGGCCCGGCCCGGCCCGCTCCGCTGCACTCACCCAGAAGAGCAGGTTGAGGGCGTAGAGCAGGCAGCGCAGGCACTTCACCGAGTCCTCCCTGGCCATGGCGAGCCCCCGCGGGACACAGCCCCATCCTCTCACCACATCCTCCCTCCCGAGGCCGGGCCGCCGGCACCCTGCAGGGGAAGAGGCGGATAGGGACCGGCGAGTCCGCCTTGCCGAGGGACCGGCACGCAGGTGGAGGCGGCAGAGCCGCGCCGAGCCCGGACCGGCCGCGCCCCTCGGGGACCCTGGCAGCCTCCCCTCCCCTCCCGCTCCGCCCGGAGACAGCGACGGGCGAGCTTTTCGCGTAAAAATAACAAAGCTGCGGGCAGGGAAGAACCCGCCGGCCACCCCAGCGGCAGAGCGGGGCTGAGTGCAGAGGAGGCACGGCCCGGAGGGCGCCGGCTCCCTCCCAGCCCGGCAGGGACGCGCTGCCCCGGGGAGAGAGGACGGCCGGGGTACAGCGGCCACTTACCGCCCGGGCGCCCCCCGCACTCACTCGCTCCGGCGAGGGCTCATGGGGCCGGGGCGCGGCAGCCCAGCGCGGAGCCGCGGCGCCCATGCCCTGCAGCGGACGCGGGAGAAGGTCCGGTCCCGGGACTGCCCCGGCCCCGCCGCCCCGCCCGCAGCGCTCCCACAGCCCGCGGCAACACAGCGCATGCGTCAGCGCGCGGCCCTAGCGCCGCCGGGCTGCTGCCGAGCGCGGCAGGGGCAGCCCCGGAGGCGGGGGTCCCGCACGAGCCGTGCCCCTCATGCGGGGCTGCTGCGGGGCTGGTGGCCTTTGCTCCTTCAGGGAGGATCTTCAGCAATGGGCTGAGCGGAGCTGAGCGACACGAAAGCCCCTTTCTCGTGGCACGTTGGCCCAGTGTGGCACGTTCGCGAGGTTTCGGGGGCATCACACAAGTTTTCAGCGCTTTTGCGTCGGAAATTAAACTCTACCAACATCGAACCTGAATCTGGTCAATTAACAGCACGGCGCCCGCTCCCCACCGTTAAACAGCAAATATCGAAGCACAACCATATTGGAGATATATTATTACAGAAATGGCCAAAATGTGCAGTTATTTTTTTAAGCAAAATGGCTGTTGATTTGCTCAGTAATGTGCATGGTACTTAGAGATGCCACGACTGAGCTGAAAAAAATCATCATTCTTCCTCTGAAATCCATTAAAGTGTGTGTGCTTCTGGTGATCAGGTTGGGATTTTCATAGAATTATGGAATGGGTTGGGTAGGAAGGGACCTTGCAGCTCATCTCGTTCCAACCCTCCTGCCATGGACAGGGACACCTTTCACTGCTCAGAGCCCCATCCAGCCTGGCCTTGAACACTTCAGGCATGGGGTATCCACAGCTTCCCTGGGCAACCTGTTTCAGTGCCTCACCACCCTCATAGTAAAGGTTTTTTTCCCTAATATCTAATCTAAACCTACTCTCTTTATTTAATTTTTCAGTGATGTTTGTATTGTTACAATATGTGTATGTGTGTATATATATTTTTTTTTCAAAAGGAAGACTTACAGTTTAAAGCATAGAATTACATGCAGATTAGCAAAGAATTTTCCCCTAATACACATAAACGTGTTGCAGTGCCACCATCACAAAAATTAGAAGAAAAGATCCTGGAAAATGCTTTTTAACTAGAACGGGAAAATGGTCATGAGTTCATGTTATACAAAGATTAACAAGTTCTAGTGAAAGCTGAGAAAGACGAAAAAAGATGTCGTGGATAAAATCTAGCTCTTGGAAGGCCAAAGAAAAATCTGCTTCTTGAAGAACAAGAAACAATGACTTGGAAAAAACCACACAAAGTCCAGATATTCAAATGCTTATCACTGAAGCTGCTGGTGGAATCTCAATTCAGCTTTACTATCACTGTTTCATACCATTAGTAGTGAATTACGGCAGACAGATTCTTCAGGTGTATTTATCCCTCCTTAAAAAGAAAGTAAAATGGACATGGATGGACATAAAATCCCATGCAACAGGGATTTTATGCCAAATTTATACAAGTAAAAATGGTAGTAAAGTTAAAAATACTCGAAAATATTGCAGAAACATAGTGTGTGAAGATTTTTGTTCCTTGAAATTTGTTAAGCTTTAACTGCTATTTTAATCCTCTTTTGTGAAATCAAGGGCCTCTTTAGGAAGTGTAGTATCCACATTTCAAATTTGCAGTGAGTATCGATAATTCCATAACTAAATAAGGCAAACCGAGCTACAACTGTTAGAAGGTGACATTGTACATTCACTGTGCTGTTTACATACCATTCATTCCTTTTATTACTGAAGACTTCACATGAACACTGTCAGTGAGACAGATCTTGAACAGGTATGGTATTTTCAGTGAACCCATGCCAGTTTACAAAAACAGTGTCAGTTTACAACTGAGCTCCAGCCTTAGCTGAGGACAATTCAATCTGTTCTAAACCAACATAAAAATAACTGAGGTTGTGTTTGTGTTCTTGATTGTTCCTTGGAAGACAGCAAATCACGTGAGCAAAGTTTTATAAAAAATGCACTTTAAAAATATTTATTTATCTTACACATTTATTTGAACAAGCCTAAAATAGGAAATAAGAAGTTTTCTTACTTGTTTTAGATATTTTTTGTCTTAGAGTAAAACTATTCCTTAAGTGCAGTAAGAAAATCAAGGAAAGGAAAAAGAAAACCAGTTACTGAGACATCTTACATATTAAAATTCCTGCTAAAAATGACACTTCAAGATTTTATGTCTCTGATTTTTCATTCTTTGAGGTCTTTGGTCATAAGATGCTCTCAGACTAGTTTTTAAACATTCTGTTGCAACAACTCCATCACAAACGTAAAGAAGGTCCCCTAGTTGTTAAACAATTTTTCTGTCATTTTGTTATTAACTAAATCATTAGCTGTCCATAAGAGATTTTGCTCAAAACCCAAAGTAAACAGGTCCTATTTATGAATGTCTGCCAAATACTATAGGGCCTAGAGGAAGGTCCCTTTGGAATTCTGCTTTCTACCAGGCTGTCAAACTTTGTGAAATTTCCATGATGTCAACACTGGGAAAGAAATACACAGGCAGTTCCCATGTATTCAAAACAGTAACTAAACTGAAAGTACTAGTTAATGACCCAAAATAATAAAAAAATCAGGGAAGCTGCTTCAGTACATACTCTTTTGTTTTTCTTTAAACTAAATTCTTCAGACTGTATTTAGGGCAAGTCAAGGGAATATTTTTTACAAACAGGAGTCTAATGGTGAAGCTCTTGGTAAGTTTTTGAAATATGTGTTTGCTGTAACAAGTAATGCTGCTTTACTGCACAGAGACTTACGAGCATGGAAAGCCTTGAGGTTTGGTATTTTCTGCTTGGATTCTCTCATTCCTAATAAACTACAATTTGAGAAGCTTTTTCTTCTGTGACAGGACACCCACAATAACTTTCTAATATGAATTCTGTAGAGTTTAAATAAAGTATTCATGATACCATATTTCCATCAATGACAAAGGAGGGGGATGGAGATACAATTAACTCCAATAATCTCTTTTTCCTCTGCTTATCTGCCTGTTTTAATTTGATGTATGGAACCTTAATATCTGTAAGTTAGCTTCTCTTTGTCAAATGTGCTTGAAAGTGGCCAACAGGTTCAAAAGCTATTATAAGGCTATGGATGACAGACATTAAGTTTGCATTAATACTACAGTATGATCTCATAAGCCCTTCCTCATCAGGAAACCTGAGTAAAAGAGGAGTGGATATTAAAGACACCCATCCACTACATAGCTTTAAGTGTCTTTAATTTAAACTATGTGATCAAGTGGAATAGCATTAGGCACGCATGTAGATTTATAAGTGATAATTGCCTGATAATATTTGGCAGGAAACCTTATCACTGAAAAAGTGATGAGTTAAAGTAATGTCCTTTTATATGCTGCCATAACATTTAAAATTACTCAGATGAGCACTGAACAGAGGAACATATACGTGGATGTGCTTTGGCACATATTCATTTTAATTTTCTGTGGTATCTACTCCACTTGGTCTACTCTGATGAGCAAATTGTTCACGGACAGATTTATTTCCAAGATTTTAGTATAAGATAGAAATATATTTGGTAGCACTGTAGCAATTCTTAATGAGTTAATATTTTTTCCAGCCATGTGGTCTGTTAGATGTGAAATTTTCTGTGATCCTTTTAGTTTGCATGGTATTTGTAAAGTTTCAAGGATACTTAAGCAATTCCTTTTTATACATAGCTTTTTAATTGCAAGCCCCTGCCAGGTATGGCCTGGGCAGGCAAGTTTTGTAACTGGCCTCTGTCTGTAATGAATAATTTGTGTGCCTAACAGTGCCAACACTGAACTCGGGATGGATTTCTAAAGCTAGCTGGTGGCTTGTCAGTGTCTCAGGTAGGCATCTCATCACTTGGTCTTGTTTTCTCAGTCTGTTACTTGAATTGTAATGGTATTCTGTACTTTGGTACTATGTGATTAGCTTAGTTATTTCTCAGCTTTGTGTCTCAGTCTGAGGGGACTGGAATGTTTGCTAAAGAGGATGAGTTATGAGATAGACTAAACTCCTCTCTCTCGGCAATTGTAAATTCAAAATTAAGGGGCTTTAATCGAGGAAGTGTGGAAAAAACCAGAAGAAATAACAACCCTTTATTAAAAGATATATGTATGTTGGCAAAAACAGTAACAGAACACACAAAAAGACTAGACAGTAGTCCTAGGAAAAAAAAAATCAAAAAACTTCTCTGTCCTTTAGCGCAGTCCTAACCGTGGCCTGCAGGGGGCGCTGTTGGATCGCTGAAGGTGCAGGACCTGCAGTTCTCTGTGGTGGCCAGCAGGGGGCGCTGTTGGGCTCTGGTGGTCACCACGCAGGGAGAGGGGTCTGGGGGGTCGCGGGAGGAGCCAAAAAGAAGATGAGGGACCCTGCCCCCCAATGGAAGGAAGGGTTAAGGAAAGCAGTTCACCCTCAGCAGGACTCACTGTGGTTCTCAGTTGATGGTGCCCCAAAAAGCTCCTCCTTTTCTCCCAGCAAGCACAGGGACTCTCCAATGAAAACACAGCTGGTCCAGGCTGGAGACAAAAAAAAACAGCTCCCAGGCAAGCTGAAGCCAGTAGTCCGAGCTGACTAGGATAAGAAGCCAAAAAACCAGATCCCCAGTCCTTCTCCCTAAATGCCTGCACGCAGACCCCCCGTCTCCCTCCGAGAGCAAACTCCGCAGTCTGACCTTCTCCTCTGTCCAGGCGGGCAGCTCCCCCAGCCTCTTATGGGCCATCAGAGAGGAATGCAGTCTGGCAGGCTAGTTCTTTTGTAAGGCTAGTTACCTCCCTTCCCCCTTCCCTATTCGAAACTCTGTTTCTCTTACAGGGAAGCAGGGAAAGAAAAATTCCTCTCTCAGATTTATAACTTATAACACTTTGCTCTGGATCTGTCTTCTGCTTAACCTAGACTCAGACTTACTTTCCTTCCTTTTGCTCCTTGAGCAAAAAGGGCTCCTAGAGCCCTTCTCTCCATGTTTTCATTTTTCTGCTCTTTGCTTTATACCCTTCTCAACTTCTCTGTGGTCTGGTTTGCCTTGGTTCTTGCCTGGTCCTCAACACTGGTTACAACTGTCTGCCCA